TTGACCTCATGGCCTTCAGTTCTATCTATGCTGTTGCAAATGACAGGATTTCATTTTTTTTGACTGAATAATATTCCATTTTGTATATGTACCATATTTTCTTTATCCATGCATCCATTAATGGAAACTTAGATTGATTCCAAATCTTGGCTATTGTGAATAGTGCTACAATAAACATGGGACCTGCTGACCACAAGGAACTATATCTTTGGATACCACCCCCACGGTATCATGGGCCTGGGTGCCTTCTGCAACTTCAGCACAGAGGCCACAGAAGTAAGAAAGAAGTTCCCAGGCATAAGGCCTTACCTGGCCACACTGGCTGGCAATTTCCGGATGCCAGTGCTGAGGGAGTACCTAATGTATGGAGTCATCTACCCTGTCAACTGGGACACCATAGACTACTTGCTCTTAAAGAATGGGAGTGGCAATGTCATCATTGCCATGGTGGGGGGTGCAGCTGAGTCCCTGAGCTCCATGCCTGGCAAGAATGCTGTCATCCTGCGGAACCAGAAGGGCTTTGTGAAACTGGCCCTGCGCCATGGAAGGGACCTGGTTCCCATTTACTCCTTTGGGGAGAATGAGGTGTACAAGAAGGTAATCTTCCAGGAGGGCTCCTGGGGCCGATGGGTCCAGAAGAAGTTGCAGAAGTACATTGATTTCGCCCCATGCATCTTCCATGGCTGCGGCTTCTTCTCCTCTGACACCTCGGGGCTGGTGCCCTACTCCAAGTCGGTCACCACTGTTGTGGGCGAGCCCATCACCATCCCCAAGCTGGAGCACCCGACCCAGCAGGACATTTACCTGTACCACGCCATGTACATGGAGGCCCTGGTGAAGCTCTTCGACAACCACAAGACCAAGTTTGGCCTCCCCAAGACCGAGGTCTTGGAGGTGAACTGAGCCAGCCTTCCGGGGGCCAACTGTCTGGAGGAACCAGCTGCAAATCATTTTCTACCAAGTTCTTGAGTGCTTTTTGTTCTGTAAATTTGGATATACCGATTTCCTTTCTTTGGGATATATACTATATACCTAGCAGTGGGATTGCTGAATCATAAGGTATAGCTCTCTTTTTAGTTTTAGTTTTTTTGAGGGACTTCAATACTGTTTTCCATAGTGTCCATACTAACATACATTCCTACCAAGAAATATGAGGGTTCCCCTTTCTCCACATGCTCATCAGCATTCATTATTACCTGTAGTTTTGATAAAAGACATTTTAACTGGGATAAGATGATATCTCATTGCAGTTCTGATTTGCATTTCTCTGATGAATAATGATGTTGAACATTTTTTTCATATACCTCTTGGTCATTTTTATGTCTTCTTTTAAGAAATGTCTATTCAGATCCTTTATCCATTTTATAATCAGAATATTTGATTTTTTCCTCTTTGTTGTGGAAGCTTCTTATATATTCTAGTTATTAATGTCTTGTCAAATCAGTCATTTGCAAATATTTTCACCCAAATTCCTCTTCACTTTGTTGATTGTTTCCTTTACTGTGCAGGAGCTTTTTAGCTTGACGTGATCTCATTTGTACATTTTTGCTTTGGTTGTCTGTGCTTATGAGGTATTACACAAGAAATCTTTGGCTGGCTCAATGTCCCAAAGTGTTTTTCCACACGTTTATTTTAGCAGTTTCATAGTTCCAGGTCTTCGATTTAAATTTTTAAACGATTTTGATTTTATTATTGTAAATGGCAAGAGATAAGGGTCTAGTTTTATTCTTCTGCATATGGATATCCACTATTCCCAGCACAATTTATTGAAAAGAGTATCCTTTTTTCAATGGCTGTTATTGGCATCTTTGTTGAAAATGAGTTGACTATAGATATATGAATTTATTTCTCGGTTCTCTATTCTGTTCCATTGGTCTATGTGACAGTTTTTATGTCAGTACCATGCTGTTTTGGTTACTATAGCTCTGTAGTTCAATCTGAAGTCAGGTAATGTGATTCCTCCAGTTTCCCCACCCCTCCCCACCTCAGGATGGTTTTGGCTATTCTGAGTTTTTTCTGGTTCCATATAAATTTAAGAATTGTATTTTCTGTTTCTGTGAAGAATATGATTGGTATTTGATAGGGATTGCAATAAATCTGTAGATTGCTTTGGGTAGTATGGATATTTTAACAATATTATTTCTTTCAATCCATGGACATGCAATATCTATCCATTCTTTTGTGTCCTTTTCAATTACTTTCATCAATATTTTATAGTTCTCATTATAGATTGTTAGGCAGGAATTAAATCTGTAGGTTGCAGATACAGGCCAGGAGGGCGGTTCTTAGCAGTGGAGAAGCTGGCGGACCAATTGGTGGAAGGGACTGCAGGAAAACACAGAACACCTGGCAATCACGTGTATCAATCATTTGGTAATATCCCACAGGTCCATAAGCCCTCTACTGGGCCAATAAAAGGAAACCACCTGGGCGTCCTTAACTTCTTTCTTCACTCATGGAGACTGGCCTAATTATCTCTCTGGAGCATATTTTTACTTTTTACTTATTTAGCTTCCTTCTTTTTGACAGTCATGTAGCTTTCTTCTTTCTTCCTTCTTTTTCACAATGAAAGCTGTTTTTGGGGAACTACTTCCTGTTTGTGTTCACTCCCTTTCACCAACCCTGCTTGCAATTCTTCCAAGCAAGGAGCCAAAGAACCAGGACAACATTTCTCTTTCAAAACTCAACCCTGACATTTTGGTGCTGAAACCCAGGAGAAATATTCACATTTTGCTCTCACTGTTTTTACTTCCCTCTTTCGGTTTTCTCAGCCCACACTCTCCCTTCTTCTTTGTCTCCACTGCACCTACCTGGGCCAGCCAAACTCCCTCCATGCCTGTGCAGCAACTTCCCCTTTAGGACGCTGCTAGGTCAGAAGTCATTACAAATCACTCATCCTTTCATGATTGTTTGAAGCCTTTCTACTCTTTATTGCTTAGATCCTGGGACCAGGGAGGTACAATCCAGCCTGGGATTGCACGTCATCTCTCAGTTGGTCCCTGATGTTCGGCACAAACTCCAAAAGCCAAGAGGGGCCTCAGATTTCACAAGCAGAACTTTAAACCTGGCCTTTAAGGTCTTTGATAACCAAGATGAGAGTGAGAGGATGCGGGGCTGATAGCAGCCCTGAGAGCCAAAGGAAGCTTTTCAAGCGGTGGCTAACACAATAGGAGAGGTTTTTTAGAGACAGAGATGCCCTGGAGGCTTGGGCAAGAAGATACCAGGGCCGCACTTTCTCCAGGAACTGAGCCCTACCTCTACTATGACTCTGCGCCCCATAGTAAGAAATGTCCCAGTGAGCAGAGATCACTGAAACTGGGCACTCTGTACAAAAGGGAGGGGCACTACATTAGGAGCCTCCCTTGAGCTGGCATCCTCCACACCCATGGACCTTCTAGGACTACTTCACCCTGACGGACAGATCACAGCTTTGGAACAAGTTTAACCTCATCACATTGGGATGGCTGAGCCTTGGATAACTCTTTCTATTATAGGTAAGCAAATTAACTGTGATTAACATTGGACCCACTCACTCTGCTCTTCCTGAATTTTCAGGGCCTGCTGTTTCCCTCTTTCTCCTATCTCCATGGCGGGAGTGGAAGGTAAACTACAAACTCCCTGTGTACTATACTGCTTTTCTGCTTTGCTCGCTAGGAGATTTGGTCTCTGCTCATACCATTTTGTGCTTCCCAGTTACTCCAGACTGGGAAAATAAAATGGTCAAGTTAGCACACCTAACTCCGTTAACACAGTTTTGTATGTGATCAAGTTGGTTATAATTAAAAAGGGAAACTTTTTGTTTTGAGGAAATATTTAGAGGCCCTTGGTAAGAAACTTTGTTCACCAGGATAAGGTACTGGAGTCTGACCTGTTCACCTGTCAGGATTCTAGTGCTCCCCTTCATTACCTCTGTTATTGTTTCTGCCGGCAACCTTCTACAGGGTTCTTCACTCCCATTCCACAGGGGCAAAGAGGGCAGTCCTTACACATTTCTTTGACCATGTAAGACAGCTGAAGGAAGGTCTGGAACCCTTTTGGCTAAGCCAGTGGGCAGCGTTTATCTTGTGAAAAACAGTCATAACTCAGGTGGAATGGGAAGCAATACGTGCCAGGTATCATGAGGAGGCAAAGATAAAGGGGTGGTATCAGGTGATCACTGGGCAGTCACAAGGCCAAGAGAAAGAGCCACAGTGTAGGTAGGTGCAGTTGTGCACCCCACAAGGATGGCTCTGCACTGTCTCAGGGCCCCCCACATGGCACATGGTGTCGGGGCCAAAAGTTTCACTAGAGTCCTCAGAGCTCCAAGCATGAGAGACAGTGTGTGGCATCTCCATGGTAAACATGGCTGCCCCAGAGAGGGATGCCTAAATGGGTGACCAGCCAATGCACCAGACTGGGGATGCCTGGTTCAAGGGGCAGTTGGAATAGAGATTTGGGGCACAGCCTAACTAAGCAAGTCCTGCCTTAACACAGAAGGGTTTCAGGGCACAACCTAACTAAGCAAGTTCTCAGCCAAACCTGATGGACACGGGGATGCCTAGTCTTCCAGGTAGCTGACCCTCTCTTCTTTCCAGCCTTTCTCTCATAGAACAGGGCACTGCCTAACTAACCAAGCTCCAGACCATGGGACAAGGAGTCTCTGTTCCCACCGACCCTCCCCTGGAATGCCTATTAAAAAAAACTTAAAAACCCTTGGACTTGACAGACTCTGGAAAAAGAAATTAATATTTTTCTGCAACATGACCTGGCCCCAAAACCAGCTGCCAAATGGAGAATCCTGGCCCGAGAACAGGAGTCTCAACCCAAATACCATCTTACAATTAGACCCCTTTTGTAGAGGGAAAGAGAAATGGTCAGACATTCCTTATATTCAGGCTTTTATACACCTGAGAGATAAACCCCAATATTGCAAATCCTGTGTGGAAAGGTATCTCTCAGGGGGGACAGGAAAATGTCTGGGTGCCTCTTCAGCTCCAGACAAGGCTCAAACTTTAAAGGAGAGATAGGGTAAAGGAAAGGGAACTAGCCACCTCCTCCTCTCTACCTCTCTCCCTAGTTCTCTTACCAACATAGACTCTAACTCATTCCGCAAAGGCAGCACAAGTGATCAACACCCATTTCATTACTCTTTTTCTAAAATCCTTAAAAAACTTCAGAAGTTAATATCAGGACCCCAAACAGGTACTACTCAACTATTGTCGGTGGCCCCCACGGTCTACAACAATCAGGATCTGGAAATAAGGCGGACCACCAACAGGCTAAATTGTTGGGAGTGGCCATTGCTGTGCAGGCTCACTGGTTACTCCGAGGAGGCCAAGAGGTGATGACAAAACCTGTTATCAGTGTGGTTCTAAATAATTATATTGCCCTATATTTTATCTTAGCAGAACAAAGAGGGATGTGTATCGTCCTTAACAAAACTTGTTATACTTACATTAATAATTTGGAATAGTGCAAACAAATGTAAAATGACTATATGAACAAGCTAAATGGCTATCAAGCCTAACCTGGTTGTTGCCACTCCTGGGACCAATAGTCTCAATCCTGTTACTCCTTTTATTTGGTCCTAATTTATTCAACCTTTTGGTGAGATTTGTATCTTCCAGACTACAACAATTTCATATGAAGCTGATGTTTGCCAGAGGGTTCCAGCCAATACCAGCTAAGTACATCAGAGAACATCACAACATGAGATCCTGAACCAGAGTGCCCAGGCATTCCATCTGTGACTTCTTCCTCCTCCTAAAAGAGCACGAGGATCTGAAAACTGACACAACACTCATATTCAGGTAGAAATAGTTACAGAAGATGGACCTTTGAACATGATCCCAAAGAGTTCCAGGTCCTATGTCTTTCAGGGGGGAATGCTAGGCAGGGATCAAATGTGCAGGTGGCAGATACAGGCCAGGAGAGTGGTTCTTAGGGGTGGAAAAGCCGGGGGGCCAACC